GGGGGGGGCGTGGAAATCAGCTTTAGGCAGAGGAACTGTTACTGGGGCAGGAACTGTACTGGAACACGACAGAGAAACAACAAGTAATAGGAGCCCTGCAAAGGTCTAAGATAACCAGGTAGAACGGTCAAACGCTTATAGGATCACCAGCTCAGCAGGATGGGTTAAACAGTCTGTGCCTGCAAGTAAGAAACAAAAGCAGTCTCAGTATCTGGCCTCATCTGCTACGTGGCACAAGGCAGATTTCTGAGGTAATTCCGGCATCTGGATATGTGAAGATTCCGGCAATGGAAGACTAACTACTCTCTTTCCTTCAGGGTGAGGACTGGATTTTTATTTCATCCCAAACGGCTCACTTATTCCACAGTTTATGCACCTGAATAAAAGCAGATTGAATTGCACAGAATATTCTTACCGATACAGGATTGTCACCGAGTCTGACCCGCTATCACAATTTCAGAGAACACATCTTGGAAAAAGGAAGCTCTTGAAAGTCCTACGAAGAGCACTGATAGCCTAATTTTAACAGTTACTAAAAGCTTTCAGGAACTTAAGAAAAATGGTCTTGGTCTCTGTCACCTCTTCCTCAGATTTTTTTCTTTTCTTTTATAAGGCTTTTCTCCAACAAACCAGGATTGTTTGGAAAAATATATTGTTCCACCAGCTCAAGGTCGCTCAGAGGAACAAAAGGAATAAAACTCGTTAACACACCTTCTATGATCAGACAAGGGTATTACCTTTCCTGTTTGGGGTATGGCATTCTTCATTATCCTCGCCACATTTGCAATTGGAAGATATATATCTTGTTCTCTAAAACTCTCTTTTGAGCCATTTGTATCTTCGTGATCATTGATGCTGTCCTCTGTGTCTAAGGAAATGAAGAAAAGTTAACAGACACTGTATTGGATAGGCAGCAGGCAATCATTAAGGCAGTTTAAAAACATACCCTGAAGGATGAAGGCCTTGGAAATCGCAGGGCGTTAACGCTGTAGAAGTAATTTTTAAACCAGATGTAACAGCAGACTACCTTTATGGGCATTTGATACCATCTTTACTGTACTATGTACAAAAACGTATGTGGCTGCTGAACACCAAGCATTCTTGATGCCACGGCAAAATGAAAAATTGTTGCCTGGAACAGTAATTCTTTTGTCCCCACCCCAAAGGGCTCAGTGTCAACACTGAAAAATCCAACCTCCACCTTCAGGCTGGAGAAAAAATGCTTTATACAGGCAGGCATCATGGCTACGAACAATTGCAAATTCTTAGCTTGGCAGAAGATAGCAGAGAACTGGAAGGAAATATAAATATACACACAGAGAGATTGTAGCATTTACCGTTACACTTCTTACCATCGTGAGGCTGTATCACATAGTGACTGCCACCAATGTAATCCCCAGCAATTCCTAACTGAGAAGCATCCGTTGTGGAGCTATCACCATCCATCTACAACCAGAAGAATGAAACCTTTCAGGTATGTTTGTTACACTGCAGGCGCAGCTATTGCTGAAAAAATGGCACTTAATCAACTTAGAACTACGAGACAGATTTATTAACAGTGTAAATGCTTTGCCCATGGAGAACAGTGCACTCTCTCCGATTAGTGAGCTTTACCCACACCGAAAACAGTGAAACTCTTGTGAAGCTTCCCCAGAAATTCAACCAGAGGCACAGAAACATTTGGTTCACGCAGCACATCTGTAACAACCTTGTGTGGATCCCACCGGAGTCTGACCAGCAGAAGTCAAGGCACCTGTTTCTCTGAACGACCCTCAAAACCCAACGCCAGCCCGCCAACCGGACACTTTACCGACAGTGATGACACGGGCCGCACCCCTCGCTCACTCTTACCCTCCCAAAACAAGCCGTTGTCAAGCCCAGTGACAAACTTCTCCTAGCCAGACCTCAGGACCAGCTCTGCATCCTCTCACCCTTGAGCCCATCAAGTCAACTCCTAGATGTCTTCCAAGTCACATTTTCCTTTGCTTTCCCTGCTTCTGTCCCTCCTCTCTTCTCCGAGCATCCTTCAGCTCCTCTCAGACCTTCTTTTGGAGAGAGGAAATACTGCAAAAATTAGGGACAGAGAAGGGGTTCCTAGCAGAGGGAAACTCTTTCAACACTGGCGCACAAATCCAAAGGTATTCTGGAACACATTTAGATGCACCTGAATTTTCTTGGCCATGTTTAACATCAAACAGCTCTGTTAGCATTTGCTTATTTATCTGTTTGCTAGAAAATCATAGAATCATAGAATCATAGAATGGTTAGGGGTTGGAAGGGACCTTAAAGACCATCTAGTTCCAACCCCCCTGCCATGGGCAGGGACACCTTGCACTAGACCAGGTTGCTCAAAGCCACATCCAGCCTGGCCTTTAAGACATCCAGGGATGGGGCATCCACAACATCTCTGGGCAACCTGTTCCAGTGCCTCACCACCCTCTCCATGAAGAATTTCTTCCTGACATCTAATCTAATCCTCCCTGATTTCAATTTATACCCATTACCCCTTGTCCTATCACTACAGGCCCTTGTAAAAAGTCCTCTCCCAGTACCCTTGTAGGCCCCCTTCAGATACTGGAAAGCTGCAAGGAGGTCTCCTCGGAGCCTCCTCTTCTCCAGGCTGAACAAGCCCAGTTCTCGCAGCCTTTCGTCATAGGAGAGGTGCTCCAGCCCTCTGATCATCTTCGTGGCCTCCTCTGGACTCGCTCCAAGTGGTCAATATCCTTCTGATGTTGGGGGCTCCACAGCTGGATGCAGTACTCCAGGTGGGGTCTCACCAGAGCAGAGTACAGGGGCAGAATCACCTCCCTCGACCTGCTGGCCACACCTCTCTTCCATTCCCATTCTACACTTGACGCAGTTCCTTCTCTGGCCCAGCACTTCCCATTCTTCCCCCTTGTGCCCCAGCTGTTTCTGACCTCAGCAGCTAGCCTCACTGACGGGAGGCAGACCGTGGCTCAGTTCACTCGCTGACCTACACCAGCTGTGCAGGTACCCGGGTGTCTGTGGAAAACCACCCCTGCCCCGAAGGGTCGTGTGGTCATTGCTGCTGAAACCAGGCAGCTCCCTTCTTCCAGAGCCACCAGCCTGACGTGGGAGGAAGGGAGAAGCAATCCTGTGCTATTTTTATACCTACCCAGAAATATGAACAATTTAGCCTCTCTCTAATCTGCACTCTGCCTGTGGCCACAGGGCTGGGTTTTGCTTTCAGACTTCCAGGCAACAGCCCGTGCTAGGCTTGGCCATGGATGCACACGTAACCCAGCGCTGCTCTGCAACAGCTGGATGTAGCCGTAGGAGCTGCCCAGGAGAAAAAAACTCTTCCCCCTCTCCTCCCCTCCACAGGATATTGCACACATGCACACGGTGTGGCTTTCAAAGCACTTCTGATGGGCTTCTCTGAAAGAGTTTCACTTCTTACACAGCAGCTCTGCCCAAAGGGAGAGCAGCGTTTTGAGCACTAGCCTTCCCTGTGCCAACTTTCACGTAAATTCGCTTTGTTTGCATTTTCCAGACTCTTTGTTGGGAGATTTAACGTTGCTTTTCAATTTTCCAAAGGGTCTGCAGTTTGCTTACTCAGCTCACTGTAATGCCAACGCGAGGATATCACAATCCTTCATGTCAAGATCACCAAAACTGACATCATCCCACCATTAAGAGAGTTGTCTCTCTCTTTTCCTTCTGCAATTTGAAGCAATTAGCATTCTGCAGTCTAGTAAATCCCAAAAGCCTCCTCCAAAATTAAGTTAGGATTTTCTAACCGTCTTGTTCTCCGTTTCAGCTCTCCGATCCCTACTGGGATTTAACTCGGAGTTAGGGTGTCTGCAGGCTTTAAGCAGTAAGTTTACTCAGCCCAAGTGCTATTTTAAATGCCTTGATGTTTCTTCCCCTCTCCCTTTTCAGTCTTCTTTGATACTTACCTTCTCAAACGTTTCTTTCTTTCAGGATTGCAATATTCTTCAAATTTCTGCAGAGAATTCACTTGTTTCTGCTCACCCGTCCTGCAGGCTGCCCCATCTGAATCTTTATTGCCTGCCAAGGCCCAGCAATATCGTTGAGAAACCATCTTGCTTTCGTTAGCCCCGCTCACCTTCAAAAGGCAATTCCTGCCTGAACCTCTTTTAAACCTCCGCTGCATCTGCAGACAGCTGTGGCCATATCAGACTAAGACATCCTCCAGGTACTATCTTTGCTTTGATTCTTTTCTGTATGCCTCTTCCATATCTACTTACAGTATGCATTATTTCACAATTAGTGAGAATTTGAGTGGAAGCTTATCAACATTATGAATCTAAAATAGCGATTAGCAAAATGGACAGGAAAAGGCTTGCCAAAGAAAAAGGCAGCTCTGTCTCAGATAAAGGAGAGAGGTCCTGGGAGCTGAACATCAACTGAAATGCCTTCTGCAGGTATTACTTTAGGAAAGATTTTTAGCTGCCAGCACAACCTTGGGACAGGGGATTATGGGCAGCGTAACACCCTTCTGCATAACGTTTAGCATAACCACATCCTAATCCGGGATCGCAGGATAATTCAGGCTGGAAGGGGTCTCAAGAGCTCTCCAGTCCAACTCCTGCTCCAAGCAGGGGGAGCTCTGAGCTCCCTGCAGGTTGCTCAGGGCTTTATCCATGAGGGTCTGGAAGACCTCCACAGAGGGGGCCTGCCCAACCACCCTGGGAGCCTCTTCCACTGCCTGGCCGGCCCCGCAGTGAGATAAGGAGCAGCATCTCTGCACACCACCTCAACCCAAATAAGTCTGGCAGACGAATTTCAGCCAGATTTAATTTCGTCATTTAATTCAAATCTAGATCCAGGCATCTGAATATGGCAACTGCAATTAATATACCATCTAGTCACTCTACCGGTATTTCTTTGAGCCCGATGGATGACACAAGCATGACCCTGCTGAAAAATGGGGCCACCGCTATCCTAGTCATCTCATAATGAACGCAGTGACACGTGCAAGCATTGTGATTTTAATTTCTGATGTTCAAAACTCAAGTCAATCACCACACATCTGGTTGTCAGCTCAGCACAAGGTCTGTAATACATACAACACAACACTCAGAAACCGGGAAAACACTGCTCTCAATATACTGTTGCTAATTAATCCCTCACAACAAGAAAAAAAACCCAACAAAACAAAACCCTAAAGCATTAAACAAACTGAACTTCCAGTGTCCTTGAAGTTACTGTAAAAAGGCAGCAATCCAATGCAGCACAGCCACAACATCCTGCCTACAGCAACTGCAGTCACTCCAACGGGGCACAGAAACCACAGTAACTGCTGCCAGCGGGAGCTGGAAAGGACAACGGTTCTGACGCTGCCACGTTCAGCTACTTCTCAGGATGGAAGCAGATACTAAATTTCAGAAACAGGCAGAATCCTGGAAGACCAAGTCCTAAAATGTCCAGATGGGCAAAAACTCTGCTCTCAGATTTTGCTTTAGCCCCTGGAGCCATCACAACTGTCTTCCAAGACAGACTGTGCATCCCACGTGCGCGGCAGTTTCAGCACGCAGATGTGGCAACGGCTCTTAACGCAAGAGCGTCTCTCCGACACCTGCGTGGCTACCAAACCGCGCCAGGAGGGAGGGCTTCCAACACGTCGGTCTAGTAGCACTTACTGCACGTTGTACATCACCCTTAGCCTTCAGCACGGAGGAAACGCCAACGCTCCTCCACGCACACACACACCGACTGAACCAAGACGGAGCGCTAGGCCTATCAGAAGCGACAACACAGCAGTCTGAAGTGACCATGCCATCGTCTTGATTCTATCAACAGGAAGGGAGACAGCCCAAGCCCCTACCAGACACTCAACCCAAATACTCAGTGCTACGCTGCAAAAAGCATCTGAACAGAGAACAGCAGCAGAAAGTTTTATGGTGGTGGTTTTCCATTTCTGGCTTTTATTGGCTTGGTTTTGTTTATTTTTTAAACTCTAATGAAAACCAGTATTAGGGGGAAAATAAAAATTAATGGATGCAGGGGAATTAACCTGAGAAAGATGTTCAAAGGGAAAACATTTCAAATCAACGGCATCAAAGAAAACTCAATGCTAAGCTGCAAGTGAATGAACATACCGGCGTACGCTGGCATCTGGTAGGAAATTTTCTGGAGGATGCTCATAAAAAAAAGTAAAAGCTTCTGTCAGCTGCCCACAACTCAAACTGTTCCTAGAATGCATCTCTGCTGCATTAACAAACCCTCAGTATCTCAAAGTAAATCTTGCATCCTGTCTAATCTTAAGAGCTCTCTGAAGGGAGCAGCATCAATGTCTCAGCTAAATGACAACTAAAGATTACAAGCCCAGACCCGTTAGCACTAAGGAGGCGAAGGGTCTAAGCCTTAGATCAGTATAAAAGGTAAAAATAGAATCAAAGAAACAAGATTTTGTCTTCAGAATGGGGAATTTATCTGGCAATGATTTGCAAAACTGGAGGGGAAACCAAAGGCCTCTAGCGATTGAAGTGCTTCACGTAGTGTGTATCCACCCCCTCTCCCAAAACTGCTACCCTCCAAGAGGGACAACATGACATGA